TTTTTTTTTTTTTTTTTAAATTGAAATGGTTCATGTACACGTTTTAGTGATGTAAACAAAAGTTTCTACTGTAAAGAGAAAAAAAAATAGAAAGCAGGGTATTTCTGTTTTTGCTTGCCAACAAATGTACGACTCGATTTAGATGAGGCTCTTTCAAAAAAAAAAAAAAAAGCAGGAGAGGAAATTAGAGCTTCAGAAGCTGCTGTAGGTCTGGTTACTGGAGTAAATTTGGTAATCAGGACGAAGGTGTTCAGAGCTCGATCAGCTGAGCTGTGGTTGTAGCCATCCATATATTTGGTCAGTGTTTGTTTAAATACAAGAGTTCCACGATTGTTGTGCAGCAGAGAAATAGTCGAATCAGTGAGGTAGTTGGGACTTAATTGGTTTGTCTGATCTGTGGTTGTGCTAAATGTAGTTGGTTCTTCCGTTGCTTTTAAACGTTCTGTGTACACTAGACAACGAAAAGTCAATTTGTAGGTTTTTTTCTTTTAGACGGGTTTGAAAAAGAAAAGTAGAAAAAACAGCAAGAGTATTATGGGCCCATTATTATCATATCGTTGAACAATGTCATGACAGGAATGAAGTGAATGTCCATGAGATTAGCAGAAGGAGGAAGGATGGTAAAATCGAGGTTGAACTTAGTGTACAATAGGGTAGGTAGATGTGTACTGGTCGTTCCAGTGCCTAAAAGGTTCCACATTAAAATTATAGCATAAATATCTGCTAATATTCAGCTAACATATTGCAGCCCTGTCTGACACTTTATTTATTTAGCTGCCACCAAGCTAAGAATCGCAATTGGAATATGAGCTGGCTTCAAGGTTGAGGCAGTTCTCCAAAAGCTCCCTTTACTATTCTCTCCATAATTAAATAACGTACCTGGACGACAGTGTCGAATGATCCCTTGTCACAGGTTTCTTCTATTGGCTCTCGAACACACTCGATATACTTTTGTAGAGCACTGAAAAAGCAAGAAAACGCTTTGGTATTTGACTTTATAGTATATCCAGATTTTGTCTGTTTCTACTGAATGTTGAAGTAAAGATTAACTGACCTGCATGCGCTGGAGCCTTGTGAAAATTCATTGATCGACTGTTGGACCATTGCTGTGTCTTGTGAAATTTGTGCTTCGCATTCCGCAACTCGGCCGTCTTGCGCTACTTTTATGTAACACTCCCAATTGACGAGCATTGCTGTAATATTTAAAAAAATGATACGGCTTTGGTTTTTCCGTTCAGTTTCATATGTACTCAGGATTTGTTAAATTCACTAGAAAAAAAATTTTTGATTTTATAACAGTAATTAATTTGGCAACACATAATAACTGTGCCAGCTATACTAAAATAGAACTACATCGTCTACCAATTTGAAGTAAATGAATGAAATAAACTGAAAGTTTTTAATTTTAAAGTAGAATTTTTTAAATTTTCAACACTGCTAACCAATGTTTCTGTCGCAATTAAAACCAAATCAACCAAAGCGTGATTTCTTCAAAGAAGTTTTCTTCAGTAAGCGACTTTTACTGTGTCATAAATGTGTTACATTTGAAACATAGAGACTTTGTCTGATTTTACACAGCTGATACTAGTCGGGAAGAACTTTGAGTTTTCTGACTTCATAGATCACTAAGCAAAATAGACCAGATCGATGATGCAGTTTTTACGTATGACCGATCATTCATATCCAATTGTCTAATGAAGAAAAAATTTTGGTCTCGGCAGACATTTTAAGTTAAGATGAGCACGCTTCAGAAATTCTACTGAATATAGTGTTGTTGCTTTGAAATCAACAGGTGAATATGGTCGAAGTAGCGATTTAGCAAACGTGACATCGAAAGATCATAGGCTCTTCCTGCACTCAAAAAACCTCTTAAATATAACAAACAGTTATACTTAGTTTAGTGCACCAAAACAGGAGTGATTGACGGTAACCATAAATATGCTGATAGAAGTTGATTTTCAATTGAAGTAATGAATGGTATTAAATCTTAACAGAAAGATTTTGATGGCGAAAACGAGTTTGTCATCTGTCAGTTTTTGTCAGTCGGAATACAATTGATTACTTGTCATCTACGCAATCATATATGACAAGAAATCGACTGTTTTTTGTGATCATAAAAGTCTTTTAAAAACATTTCAGAGGAATCGGACTTCCTGAAGCACAAAAAAACTACTTACAAATCCGCACCAAAAATTGCTTTTTCTGCCCAACAAATCCTTGAAGAGTTTCTGTGAACATTTTTTTGACATAGCTTATCAAATATTATAAGAAAATTAACAGTTTACACTGAGAAGCCATTACGGTCTTTTCAACAGGTTTATCTGGTGTGGGAAAGAATTAAACGAGAAGATCAAAGAAGGTACACTGCTTTAAATTTACCGTCCTGCTCCTCTCTTGATTTCTCTTTTTTAACTTGTTTTGCAAATTAAGTAACATTTTTTTCCAAAGCTGGAGCACTTTCTGAAGGTACTACAAACAGCGGATACGGTAGCAAAGTTGGAATTTTCAGCAGAGGTAGATCTGAGGTTATTCTAAGAAGTAGTGGTTTATTAGACATATTAAAAAGGAATGCATCAACTCTTTGCTGGGAGAAGCTTCCGAACTTTACGTCTAAGACAGTCGATTAAATTACTGATGGGTAAAAAAAGATGTGCAAAAATGCAGGGAACATCATTCGAAAAATACAGAAATTAAGAATGGAGGAAACCATAAAATTTTGGTTATACAATAACTTTTTTAATAG